AATGCACTTAATGTAGAGGAGGCTAACAATAGGAATTAGGACATTGTTCAGCAACCAAATATTAAACACTCTTAATCAGAAAATATATGAATTACAGAATTGGAAACTCAATTCAAATCAATTATTTAAATGGGTATTTCTCCTTCTGTGTTGTAAATTGCTTTGATTTAAGCACGCCTAATTTATAATGTGGAGCAGCTTTTAAAATTACTGAAATCTGTAGTCTGAATGAGCGAACAGAAGAGACAGTCCTCTAAATCCATGTTGATTCTCTTGCATCATGAATCAGATTCATTCTTCAGTAAGAAATGTAATGGAACAAGACTACCACCTAGTGCTCACAGTAAAAAATAGTCAGGGGAAGAAATGGGATTCTTCTTTTCACATTCTTTCAAGCACTTAAAGACAAGATCTAGGTAAAGAAAACTTAAAGGCAGCTCAGTCTTAAAAGGCAGCCCAACATCTTTAATGTAAAAAATGACCTTCTGAGAATTACGGTTTCTTGCATTATTAACTACTGAAGAAAGTGTTTTGAGAATGAAGTTCTATGGACAAAGAATTTCATCACCAGACACTGCAAGGGAAACAAGTAAAAAATTCCCAACACTAAAAATATTTCATATTCATTGAAGGTCATTTGTTTCTGACTAGAAACAAACTGGTGTTTTAGTCTACAAATAAAAGAGCAAAGATAATATTCAAGGATAAGAATACTGACTGATGAAGTAGTGTTATTGCGAAAGAAGCCCTAGCCTCTGCGGACCCAATACTAAAATTTAATAAAAAATCTTTCTTTTATTAATTCTGAATAAAAATGAATGAAATTATTCTGAATAAAATTCACAATTTCTCACTCTGAATAAAAGAAACAAAGTCAAAGAACTAGCCATTGCTAAATTCTCTTTTTAAAATAACTTTTAAAAGAGCATAATAAATTAGTAAGATCTTTTTCCCAAGACAAAAAAGGCACTATTAACAAGCAATTATGAGCAGCAGTGAGCAAAAAAAGTAAAAAAAAAAAGAATAAACTGTTCAAGGAAACAAGAACCATAAAAAGAACTAAAAACCAGTTCTGACTACAGTTGGGTTTCATTTAGTACTACACCCTTTCTCAACCTACAGTACTTTCCTTAAACATTTTTATATCAATTCTCATCAACAGAGTAGAATAAAAAATGACTGTTGGTATCACTGCAGACATATCTGAACATACCGGTCAATTTTCCAGAGTCCTCTGATGTGGAATCACGAAAACTGACAAGATCACTGTAGCCTTTTCTCTAAGATTACTTTATTTGTCAATTAAATGATTGCAATGACAATAATTTCATGGTTTTCTCTTGCTCTTGTTGATTACCAAAAGGCCTTCAACTCAGTTGAGATAAATGCTATTCTTAATGCTCTGCACCAAGCTGGTGGAAATCCAGCATATGTGAACATCATAAAAAGCATCAATACAGGGTGCACAATGGGTATAAAACTGTTGTCAGAAGTGTGTCATATAAGAATTAACAAAGGAGTGCATGAAGGATACACAATATCAGCAAAACTGCTTGCGGCAACTTTGGAAAGCCTCTTCCAAAAAATTAAACACAAAAGCTGGATTTCAATTGATGGTGAACAACTTTCTCATCTTCTCTTCGTAGACAATTGTGTCCTTTTTACCAAAAATCTGGAAGATTTACAACATTATCTCTAACAACTAGCTCAACTCCCAAAATTAGTAGGACTGGAAATGAACTTGGAGAAAACAAAATGGATGAAAAATGAGCAGTGTGCCCAGGGCCGCATTGTTATAAGCAGAGATGAAATTGAGGAAGTGACTGAATATGTATCCTTGAACAAGTGCAGTCAAATAATTTGGCAAATGGCAAATGAGGAGGAAAATGAAAGGTTGCTTGGACATCTTTTAATCAAAACTGGACAGTGCTAACAGATTATAAACTGCCAATGAAGGTCAGAGCAGATATCTTCAACACTACAATTTTGCTGGCAATGATATATGTATCCGAAACATGGGCAAAACAAAGTTAGAGGAGGAAAAACTGGAGGTGATTCAGAGAGAAATGGAAAGGATATGTGGCGTGAGAATAAAAGATAAAGTTAGCAATAAAGAGCTGTGTCACAAAACCGGGGTAACGTGATGTAGTCAATGAAATCTATGAGGCAAAAAGAAGATGGGCAGGGCATGTAGCATAAACAAAAGACAACTAATGGACATGTCGACTAACCAACAGGATACTAAGAGACCACAAGTGGCCCTTGGGCAGACCTCATACTGGATGGGACCAACTAATAGTTAAACATTCAGCCAGAAATAGAAAAGAAAAGCAAATGGTAGATTTGCATGAAGCCAAAAGGACTGGGTCGACGACAAATCAGATAGATAGATAGATAGATAGATAGATAGATAGATAGATAGATAGATAGATAGATACTGAAGGTTCAGATTACTAATCCATGTTTTACAGAAATTTTATAGTGTTTAACATACTCACTAGTATTGAATCAAAGACAGCACTAAAAGTGTTTTTAATCATTAAGTACTATTCACTTATAAAGAGAGAGAAATCTATCTCCTATTAGCATGCTCGCAATGTCTGCATTTAGTTTCCAATTCTAATCCCAAAAGCCTCACCATATAAATCTAAAGTTATTTTTCTGAAGTGCACCACATGGACAATAACTGCTCACTTAAATCAACAACTTTCTAGAAGATCAAAGCACATAAGGTTAAATCGTAAAGAGACAGCACATACTATTCACGGGGTTTATCTTTTGTGTGCTAAACCAGATCCTCAATATTTTTAGAAATAAAAGCCTGTCCATTTATGTTACATTTGGAAATTTTAGTACAGGCAGAAGAGTCCATGAATATTGCCTAGGTTTTGTAGGTCAAAAAATATTAGATTTTACCTAATGCAGTTGCTATATGGCACACATTTTCACATGAATTTTCTACTGAAAGCCTTCATATTGGTATCATAAAATATAATACATTGTATCTGCTACTTCAGTGGATGATTTTGATTGGCACAGGAGTCCCTTCTGCCTCAGTGTGAACCAGTTTTCCCTGTGCTTTCTGCCTAGGTATGTATTACAACTGACCGCTACCAGTGCATATTAAAAGGAACAAAATACACTGAAAATCTTTCCTTTTGAGATTTCAAGTCAGAATTCTGCTAAAATGTCCATATTTATTTTAATATCAGAGACATGTTCCCAAACCCCAGCAGAGAGATCCAAAAGAAAGCATTTAAGATGAAAGAAGGCAAGGAAGGATACATGTCTTGACTCCAACCTCAAAATTCTGCTTCTAAATGCACCTTTCTGGGTAGACTTTCTATGCGATCGTAATATCTAATCTGAAGAATTTTTAAAAAGCAGACTAGAAATGAAAATAATTGGGGCTGCATGTAAACTGTGACAAACATGTCCCTATTTTAGTTCAACATGTGTAAATTAAAATTATATAAAACGTATTTAAATTAATGGAAAAATAACCAACTGACAAAGGGGGGAAAGGACTGGAAGTGCAACGTTTTAGCTAAGTTGGTATAGCAATATAGGACTGGAACAACACGGATAAAAACATAGTTCAGGACACTCAAACCCTACAGCCTTCTCAATTTTCATAAACCAAGTGAGTACAAACTACTTATTCTTTCCCATTATCAGTTGACACTTTCCCATAACACTTTGAGCTCTACTACACATTTTAGTGAAAGAAGAGCAAGGGAAGAGGCGAGCTTTGCTAATCATCATCCCACAACCCTGGAAGTTCTTCAAAAGGATGAAGAACATCATCCCTGTCACAGATGGCTGACTCCCCCAACTATGAGGAAGGTGGCCAAACCACTTCTTTATTACTGGTGGAAGTAATGGGAGGTTTATACTTCTCCCTAGTTTCCACTGGTCTCTTGTCATTAAGAATCAAGCCAGGGCTACTTCTTCTAGAAACAGTTTGTAGTAGCAACATGCAATGCTTGATTGCTGGGTGTTCAAATTTACTGAAAAATTAACTGCACAGAGATTTTGGACCAAATCGGTCAACTACCTCCCTCACACTTTAGATTTATGGTTTTTTTCCCATTAAAATGCACATAATGAAGTTACGTTGTCCAAACCTATTAATTAGATGTACACTAACAATCTGACTATTTTCATACAAATTTTGGAAAGATTGTCAGACTTTGGCTTTTTTTAATTGGTGGTTTTGATCCATTTTACACAGAATCTAATATGAAACATACTGTAATGATATTATAAATAATGTAGGTGGCACCATTCAAACTGTTGATTAATCAAATCCTGAACAAATGATTAACACCAACATTACATATAATCTACAGTTAAAAAAAACAAAGGATAAATGCGGGTCTACTTGAAGCACAGCTGCAAGAGTATAAAAACATGTGCATCTCAAGTTTCAAAAAACCAATGATCAACTTGAATTAATCTAAATTTCTCTGGGTGGAGTTTGCATTTCCTTCTTCAATCACTAAGTCACACATTCGATAACCAGTAGACAGTTTTTAATCAAAGCAGGTCTCAGAAGTCAAAGAAAATTATATTCTCGAGGCACACAATCATGTCTGGGGATCCATTCTGACAGAAGAAATATAAAATACCCAACTTCAAGAATTGTGTAACTTTGCTGGAAAGCTTTGGTGCATCAAATTAAGGACTATTCCAATCTGTATGAAGCTGGATGACACCACAATAGTCATGTAATCTAATCCCTACTAGTACTAAAAGCATAACTGTCACTACGGCACACTGAACAATAAACAACATACAAGTGAACACTAAAAATTGTCAGTAATCTTGGGGACATTTATGAAACATAGGCTGCAATGGGGCTTACTTTCTAGTAAACAAAGACAGAATTGGTGTATTGTATATGCCAAGGTTAGCACAGTACACATGCAAGCCCTTTTCTTCTCAAGCTCTAAAATGTATTATGAGCTGAACAGAAATGTAGTAAAACAAGCTCTTACTTTGCCGGTACTTTGTAAGATGGTAGTTCTTGTCCTCCACACTCTTTCTCTACTGACAATATCTCTTGTTACATCAACTTCTGCATCAACAAAACTTCGCTGTTTAAGAGCAGTTATGTCATCATCCAAATCAGTCTTAATCGTAGACCTTTTCTTGGCCATGATTTTGGCTTTGATTGCAGCAATCTTTTCCACAGACATAGCTTCAGATAAAGATCTAAAATAAGACATCAAAACATTCATCAGTTACAAACTACCATTTAGTTATATAAGTATAACTCAGTTAACGAAGTAGATGGGTTCCCAAGCATTGCTTCTCTATAGAAAATTTGGTACCAAAGGTACCAAAAGTACGAGGGGTACTTTTTAAGTAAGGTCCGTTTTGTTGTAAACACTAGTAGTTCGCGCGCATACCGCAACAAGTGCATGTGTCGTGTACCGGCATGCCTCAGGAACAACTGTGCTCAGTTTCCGCTCTGTAGCTAACCTATACGGTTCTGTTCTGTGCTTTAAAAACTCACCCGCCGCATGTGAGGTTTGCTCAGTGATACGGTTTTTGTCAGCAAGGAACCTGCCTGCTGCAGAAATTCATCGACAGATTTGTGAAGTGTACGGTGATACTTTTATGAGTGAAAGCAAAGTGCGTAAGTGGGTACGACAATTCAAAGATGGCCGTGACAACGTCCATGATGAGGACCGCTCCGGTCGCCCTTCTTTGATTACAGACGATTTGGTGGCGGCAAGTTTTTATGAAGAGGGTATTTTAAAATTAGTTCAGAGATATGATAAGTGTTTGAACAAACTTGGCAACTATGTCGAAAAATAGAGTGAAGTATGTACTTTCTGAAAATAAATTTACTTTTTTGAAATAAACTTTCGTTGTGTACTTATGTTCAAACGGACCTTACTTTAAAAATACCCCTTGTATATAGGGCCTGTCTGGAAGGGCCCTCAGTCCTTTTCCAAATTTCAACCAAGGATGACTTTTTTCACCAAATTCCACTTTTATTATTATCATATTTTCCAGTGTATAAAATGAGTGTATAAGATAACCCCCAACTTTTCCAGTGAAAATATAGTTTGGGATATACTCGCTGTATAAGACTACCCCTCTTCCAACGCACACCAAATACAAATTTAAAAAACATCAGATTTGATTTCAATATGGTAATTTTCCTATTACTGTACCACCTTCTCTGTCTCTCAGATCTCGCACATGCACACCTGTGCCGATTCACTGCATTCGTTAGGAGCAAGATCTGAGAATCAGAGAAGGTAAGGTAATAGGATACATGAGTGGGCCAGACGGATGAAAGAGGCGTGTTTTTCTGGGCACATCACTGCTCTCTCTTTTTTCCATACCCCAGGCATCCTTGACGCCTGCATCTTGCTCCATCCTTCACTTACACCTTCCCGTTGAGATGCCCCCTCACTTCGTCATAGGAACCATGTTAATTCACTTCTTTCCACGAATCCTGGTGAGTACATTTTCTTATACCATACTTGTACAGCACCGCCCTTGAAGCTTCCATACAGTCGCCGCATACGGTGGGGATGCGGCGAGGCCGTTTTCGAGCTCCCCCAACCATATGTGGCGACCGCAGATTCTCCAGTCTGGCCCAGAAGCTTCCACACCCACCCTATAAGATGACATCCATCGTATAAGACGACCCCCAACTTTTGAGAAGATTCTCCTGGGTTAAAAAGTAGTCTTATACACCAGAAAATACAGTACTTTTATTTTGGTGGCTAGGCTTCTATATGTTTGCTTTTTTAACATGCAGTGGATAGATAGGTAAATGTAAAGGTTTCCCCTGACATTAAGTCCAGTCGTGTCCAATTCTGGGATTTTTTAGTTGATCGATTTTTCCCACCCTCTTTCACAATTCTCCCAATGCTGATCTTCCAGGGATTACTTGGTTGGCATTAAAACTTTTACAAAAAGAACAGAGCACAAATATGAGGCTTCATGAATTCAACTGATATTTAATCCTCAGAAGAGGAGGAGATTATAGCAGTGGTTCTCAAACTTCCTAATGCCGCGACCCCTTAATACAGTTCCTCATGTTGTGGCGACCCCCAGACATAAAATTATTTTTGTTGTTACTTCATAACTGTAATTTTGCTACCGTTATTAATTGTAATGTAAATATCTGATATCCAGGATGTATTTTCATTCACTAGACCAAATTCGGCACAAATACCCAATACGCCCAAATTGGAATACTGGTGGGGTTTGGGGAGGGGTTGATTTTGTCATTTGGGAGTTGTAGTTGCTGGGATTTATAGTTCACCTACAATCAAAGAACATTCTGAACTCCACCAATGATGGAACTGAACCATACTTGGGACGCAGAACTTCCATGACCAACAGAAATTACTGAAAGGGTTTGATGGGCATTGTCCTTAAGTTTGGGAGTTGTAGTTCACCTACATCCAGAGAGCACTGTGGACTAAAACAATGACGGATCTGGACCAAACTTGGCATGAATACTCAATATGCCCAAATGTGAACACTGGTGGAGTTTGGGGAAAATAGACTTTGACATGTTGGGAGTTGTAGTTGCTGGGATTTATAGTTCACCTACAATCAAAGAGCATTCTGAACCCCACCAATGATAGAATTGAGCCAAACTTCCCACACAGAACCTCCATGCTCAACATAAAATACTGTATTTTCTGATGGTCTTTGGCGACCCATCTGACAGCCCCTCGCGACCCCCATAGGGGTCCCGACCCCCAGGTTGAGAAACACTGGATTATAGCATTCCCAATTGCTGCAGGGTGCGTGTGCTCATTGCCAAAGCAGTGACTACACATTTCCTCTTATAATACACAGGAATCTGATTTGCCCACTCTTCCAGGGTCCAGATTGTACTTCCCTCTGGAGAAAATGTAGATTTTCAGAAAAGCTTAAGCTAGGTGACCTCTATTCTTTTGTGGTGTGGTCAAACTCTTGAGTTATATGCTTCAACCATCACCATACAGATTTTCTTAACGAAAGCCTCCCTTTAATGAACAGAAACGTCTATTTTACTAATATAACTTAAAATATTTGCCCTCGCCTCTTTATTTCTAGGTATCACTGAAGCTGAAAATTCTCTGCCAAGCTGAACTTCTTAGGTCTTTGAAGTATCATTTTGAAATCCTATGGCATTTGGCTTTGAACAAGCGTTCCTGAAATTTTCTTTAGAGCATACCTATTCTCTGGTAGGCTGAAAAGCAACACAATCTAATGTTAATAGGAGATGGCTCTAAACCATCTTATGGAAAGCAGAGATACAGCCCCTGCAGTCAAACTTCAGGAGGTGTAAAGATCTGGATAGAGGAGCAGATAGATGCTGTTACAAGAAACAGATTTAGGTCTATATCAGATTAAACTGCACACCAAGCAGCAGGAAGACTGAGAATATCAATATAGAAATGTTATGATATTTTATGTCCAGTATCGCAATATGATATGACTCCTTTATCCTTGGACTCAATATTCATGGTTTCCTTTACACACACCACAAAAAAAATATTCCCTCCTAGAAGTCTTTGTGGGCATCTCTAGGTATATTTCCAAGTCAAGTATAGCCAAAATATAGGGTTGCTGTTATCTCCATTTTCAGATATCCATGGGTAGTCTTGCAAAGTATCATGCTATAATTTATTTTATAAAAAATACAAAGTATTACACATTTTTCCCAGTGGCTCTACACTTCCATTTCCAAACCAGATTTTTGTAATTACTTCTTTCAGAGGAACTTAGTCAAAAGCAGTTTTATATTCTTACTAGCTTGGGTACCCAGCGTTGCCCGGGCTATGTGGAAAAGTCAAATTTTTAATTGTACAAAATGCACAAGGTTGTCGATTAAGTGCAACTGACATCATACCAGATTAACCCCGAAAAACTCCATCAGTATTTATTACATTGGGCAAGTTTGCTTAGATGTGTGGGGTTCGGTGTGCTCTGTAGCTGTAGGGTAAACTACAACTCCCACTATGGTGAGTCAGTCCCCCTCAAACACCTCCAGTAGGTTGAATTAGTCATGGAGGTTCTGTGTGTCAAGTGTGGTCCAGGTCCATGATCAGTGGAGGTCACAGTTTCTCTGGCTGTGGGTGAACTACAATTCCCAGAAAAGAAGGTCAGTGCCTCCCCCCCCCCCCCAAATCCCTTCAGTAATTAAATTTCGGGGTATCTGACATGTGTGCAAGTTTGGCCCAGATCCATTGGTGTTTGGGTTCACAGTGTTCTCTGGATGTTGGTGAACAACAATGCCCCCAAATCAAGGTGAATTTTCCCCAAATACCTCCAGTATATTTTGCTGATCATGGGAGCTGTGTGTGCCAAGTTTTGTCCAATTCCATCTTTGGTGGGGTTCATTGATTGCAGGTGAATTATAAATCCCAGTACCTACAACTCCAAAATGTCCAGGCCAATTCACCTCAAAACCCATCAGTATTCAAATTTAGGCATATCAGGTATGCATGCCAAGTTTGGTCCAAATCCATCACTGTTTGGGCTCATAGTGTGCTCTGGATATAGGTGATCTACAACTCCTATAAATCCCCACCAAAGACCTCCAGTATTTTTTCTTGGTCATGGGGGTCTGTGTGCCAAGTTAATTCCAGGTCAATTGTTGATGGAGTTCAGAGTGCTCTTAGACTGCAGGTGAACTATACAGTTGTACCTACAACTCCTATAAATCATGGTGAATTCTCCCCAAACCTCTCTAGTATGTGCAGTCATTGATCAATTCCTCTGTTTGCTGTGTGCCATAAAAATAGGAAAGGGTTAAGGGATAGGCAGTGGGAGGGGTCATGCAAATTCACACCAATGGAGAAAGAAACACTAGGGTGTCTGTGGTGGAGGAAACACATAAAATCTAGGATGAAATTGTCCCCGTATGAAAGCCTTCCCTTTGATAGTGGGCAGTATGGCCTTTGCAGGGGACATTAGCAGGGCTCTTGTACATGTTCACGGTGCTCACTATAACCTGCAATGTCATTGGAGGAAGGGCCATTGGTGTCTCCTGAGTAGTGGGAGCTATAGCTGTTTGTGGAGGCAGGAGCTTGTCTAGGTAAGTGGATGCTCCAGCCACACACACACGTACATATTTTCACATTTATTATGTGTATAGGTATTAACAATATCAGAAATAAAGCAAAACTTGCCTGATTTGTTCTGTCTGCACAATGCCTTCCTTGTGCCCTTCCAAACGGGCTGCAAGCCGCTCTTTGTCAAGCCGCACACACTCTTCATCCTAGTAAGAACAGAAATGTTTAGAAGACCAACATCTACAGTAGCTGAGGTAACCGATGCATGAATAGAATTCCTTTGATCCCTCCAATGGTACAATTGACTGTCACATGTTGTGTGGCTAGAAATTGTGCTGGATTCCTTCCTTGCACACAAGCACAACAATACTTGGACCAGCAAAATGCCATCACTGGATACTGGATACTTCAGGAAGATAAATAACAATTAGTTATACACCAGTGATACTACATTGTTTAGACCAGGGGTCCTCAAACTAAGGCCCGGGGGTCAGATACGGCCCTCCAAGGTCATTTACCCGGCCCTCACTCAGGGTCAACCTAAGTCTGAAATGACTCTTGAAAGCACTCAGCAACAACAATAATCCTATCTCATCAGCCACAAGCAGGCCCACACTTCCCATTAAAATACTAATAAGTTTATATTTGTTAAAACTGTTCTTCATTTTAATTATTGTATTGTTTTTAAGTGTTTTTTTGCACTACAAATAAGATATGTGCAGTGTGCATAGGAATTCATTCATGTTTTTTCAAATTATAATGTGGCACTCCAATAGTTTGAGGGACTGTGACCTGGCCCTCCGTTTAAAAAGTTTGGTTTTAGACAAAAGCCTTCACATGTGACTAGCTGTCAATGGGCTGTATCTCTGTGTTTTCTTCACATTCATGTTTAATATTACAATGAAGTTACAATAAAGCAATTTGACCATTTTCAGTTTAGCGTCCAAGCTACAATCATGTTTGGAAAGCTCTTTGCCAATTACCAATTAACATAATACATCATTCATTTCTGACATTTCAAAGACTCTTGGGGAAAATTGCTTCCTTAGGTACTCCAAAGATCTCTGAGAAAGATCCAAATAATTACAAGCTGGCTCCAAAAGCTCAAGGAGGTTCTGAGATACTGTTTCCCATCAACTTTATGGTCACATCAACTTTATGGTTGCATTCAAAGGGTCATTGAATCCATGAATGGAGAATCAGTGGATACAGAGAGCCAACTATATATATTTTTGCACAGTGGTCAGTGCTTTTATCTCCATTTGGGTTCCCAGATTTTACTGAGCAACAACTTCCATCACTTTTAATCATCCACCATAAGGACTGGAGATTATGAGAATTGAAACCCAACAGCCCTTGTGGGGCTGGGGGAAAGTTAAAGGACATTTTAAAGTCAGACATTATTTATTATTGCTTAATGTTAATAGATTTTAACTGTTTAATTTTTATTTTTAGTACTGGTTTTTACCGGCACTGAATTTTCATCTTGAGTCCCTTCAGGTGAGGAAAGGGGGGGGGGGGGGGGTAGAAATGAAGTACATAAATAAATACATATTTATTTTTATCTCGCTTTTCCCCCATGGGTGGGACTCAAAGCAGAGACATCATATCCGCAAGTCTTGTATCTAGATTCAAACCCCACTTTCTTGACTAAACAGAACAAACTGCATCCTTTCAAATGCTACTGCATCGCAACTCTAATCAGCTCTAGTCATTATGTCTACTGATTAGATATATAATAATTGTAGTCTAGCATCTGGAGGGTCACATATATGGATGGCTGGATTCAGCCACGAGTTTGACACATGTGGACTATGGAGTCATATTTGGTGTAAAGACAAGCTGGCCATCAAAGGTAGAGCCAACTATACTGACTTTGCCACCCATTGTCTTCCCCTGAAACACCCTAAAGTCACATCAGCAACACATTACATGCATCTGGTATAATGTTCATAGTTTCAGAGCAAAATAAACTCAAAGAGTCTGGGAGTCCTTTTGGACCCTCTGCTGACGATGGAGGCCCAGGTATCCGCTGTTAGCAGAACCGCCTTTCTTCATCTGCGGCAGGCTAGACGGCTGGCCCCCTACCTGTCCAGGGACGACCTAGCTACGGTGATCCAGGCCACGGTCATCTCAAGACTGGACTACTGTAATGCCCTCTACATTGGCCTTCCTCTGTCGGTGATCCAGAAGCTCAAGTTGGTACAAAATGCAGCTGCTCGGCTTCTTGCGGGAATTCCGATGAGATGCCACATAACACCAATCTTACTACAGTTGCATTGGTTACCAATTGAGCACCAGATCACTTTCAAAGTGATGGTACTCACCTTTAAGGCCTTGCATGGTCTGGGGCCGATGTATCTGAGGGACCGCCTCACCCCCCACCAACCCCAGAGATCCCTCCGTTCTGAGGACCAAGATCTATTGGAAATTCCCAGTGTCAAGACCTTGCGTCTAACAGCAACCAGATGCAGAGCCTTCACAGCAGTGGCACCATCACTCTGGAATATTCTGCCACCTGAAGTCCGTGCCTTGTGGGACTTACCAGCTTTCTGCAGGGCATGTAAGACATACCTGTTTCGACAGGCTTTTAATGTTTGATATTGCCGTTTTTAAATTGTTTTAAATTGCTTTTAAATTTTGTTAGATCTGAGCCATTCTTGTAAGCCACTCCGAGCCCCAGGGGAGTGGCGGCATATAAGCCCAAATAATAAATAAATAAATAAGTTACGATTGCTTCTATCACAAACAAAAGTGCAGTCAGGTCCCATATCACTCACATGTTTTCTTGATCACTGCACTTAAGGAAAATGTGTTTCCTTTGCAGAATAAAGTTCTGACCAGTGAAGGTAAATGCACTAGCATCCTGCCCTTCTGCTAATTTCAACACAAGCTACTGAGCATGTGCAAAACAGTGGTGGATAATTTGGACAGACTTAGTTTCGGGGTATGGCTGATTCTGGGGCAGGACACTGCTCCATTTTTTCTAGTGCCTTAACCTCCACTGAGGAAAGCGGTCTGATACACAAGTGCAGTAAATAGTGATATAAAGCATTATGAAAATAATAGGGAAAACATAGGCTGTACAATATTAGATGCAAATAAACTCAATTATCTTCTATCCACAAAAAAGAACACACAACACATTACTAACTTACCTCTATTCTAGGTTTCTTTGCTTCTGCTAATATTTCATCAGCTGCTCTTTTAACTACAAGAAAAACAAGGAATTAGCAAACATTTGTGGGTAATGTTTTACAAACTGGAAGCTTGAAATTTAAACTATAAAAATGAAGTTATACCTTGAGTAGATCGCTGAAGGCCTATTTCAAGTGGTGCACTTCTGTCAATACTTGATGATGTTGCTAATGTACAAAGAAAAAATAATATGAATAACATGTTTTAAAAAACACGAAAACAGCATTATTAGATGAATAAAAGAGCCATAATAATATAATTATATAATGTGGTCTCTCTAACCAACTATTAGACACTTGCAATAAAAAACAACAACAATACAATATTTCTTGAGATTAATTCCACTGACACCTTTCTAATAAGTGATAGATCAGCTTTCATTTTATAGATCTGTTCCTAGCTATTTATTTCATTGTATCATGATTTCACAGGTGTTGTCTTAACATATCTATTTGGTACATGTCATAGGCTTCATTTCAAACATCAAATTCAGTCAAATATGGCAAAAATAATACAGTGATTCATTTAAAAAACAAACAAAATAATACATTAAACACTCACAGTTTTCCCCATTTAGGTATGCAAGGAGATCTTTTCGATCAGGTCTTCTTACTACTGGAATGTTTTCCGTCTAAAAATGAAGATAGTTAAGGTAAGAAGAAAAGGGTAGCAACCTATGTGTCATCTGATGACAAATTACTTTCTGTACCTCAAATGTAAATTGCAATTTCAAACCTATGGTCAATAAAATGTCATATGGAGAATATGCAATGTTTTTCAAGACAGAATTAGCATGCTAAAAACCATCTTGACACATATATGGAAATATATTTGTGAATAGGACAAGTAGAATAAACTTAGATTCACTAGTGAACTTGCAAGCACTCATACTGAATACATTTATTCATGTTTATTTTCATGAAACCATCAGAAGGTTTCAATATCACATTCCCCAAAATATCTTGTAGAATGCAAAGTCTAAATCTAATATATCAATGGAGGGAAACATTACTAGGAATTCAAATATTTTCCCAGCAACATAAGAAGTAGTACAGTTGCTCTTCTGCTCTTTAAATGTATTGCTAATTATAAAACTAGCTTCATAATTGGGAAGAACTGGATTACCACTATGCACACAGCCCAAAATCAGGTATCTTTACGTTCCACCTCATTTGCTCTAGTGGAAAGACACTTCTATATTGGCCCCACAGTTTAATCCACAAGATTTCTTTGTTGCTGTTGCACACTATTTCCTTCCTCTTTCCTCAACCTTCCACTAAACTAAAGATGCTATCAATGCCTGGAGTTACAACACCAAATGACCAAACCCTTCTGAAACTGTAACATTATTGGGTTTCAACACCACCCAATAATGGGGAAGGTCCTGCTGACCCTTACAGCAAATCATTAAGTTAATGTATTTTTACTAAAGGCAACAGCATCAACAATTACGCCATGGAAACTAGACTGCAAGCTACAACTGGCCCCTGGAATTCCTGGAGCTACCTGATAAACAGATTGTGCACACAATGCTGAGAAGCAAAACATTGTCATCTGGATCCTGTGTCATTATTAAATTACTGATAAGATAGATATCACATATAAAACAAGGAAGAGCTAAGCTGCCCAACCTACTACACTTCCCCCATCTAATTCTGATGTAGAAGCAGTTGCTGCTTGAATTTTATTAAAATTATACATCTTGTATGGAACATTCTCTGTACAGCTGTAGCCAATGCTGGTGTTTTAGGATACACATTTATTTCATACATACAGAGTAAAATCTAAAATGTGTCTTATGAAAGTGAACAAGCACTATTAAAAAATATTTTGGTGATGCACTTATCAAGCACCACTTTCACATATTTAGCAGGATTCCCCAAGCCCCTGGAAGGGAAGCATGGGGGAAAATCTTGAATCTGGATCTAACCCACAATTCAACCTGGTCTCAAATAATAAAATAGAAACAATAATGACACTTACTTTGCTATCACTCTGATACAGTTTGCCCTTCATATTTGGAGAGACCTTCAGACCTATTTCTCCATAACATTATTTTAACTAGCTAGTCTTTTCACTGCAAGTAAAAATTCATCAGTGACCAGTATAAACCAAGTTTAAAGCTAACCATGACTTACTTTAACGTAAAATCTCTCCCTATTTCCATTTTTTCATGACTCAGTTAGCTTTAATTCCAATTCAAATAGTTCAAACAGTCTCCAAGAAAATCTGGAGTGATTAGTAAAGTGAGAGTTAAGCATGCAAGCTGTTGGAGTACACCATAAGAAAAATGATACTTTTTGTGCATTTGCTGTAAAAGGCATGTCAATGGCAAAAGTGTTACAGATTCCCTCATCACGCGCCTCCTTCTCTGAAGATGTATTTCACCCAACACTTTTTGTTTAGCAACAAACAAAAAGATTAATTTTAAATATCACAACACAAAAGAAATATTATCAATATAAGAATGTTGCTATGAATGTTCAATTAATTTTTCATTGTTACTCAACCAAATCTAAATCCTCTTCTGAAGAAATTAACTTACTGCAGCACGGCGGACATAAACAGGATGTGAAAGATGCACATTATTCAAGAGAAACAAGATCGAATCCAAAGTGTAGTACTCTCTTGGCTGGCCTTCTTTTCCCGTCCTATAATGTGAAGAAAACAAAGATGGCTTAGATTTGGGGACAGGGTGCACCATCTATAGATCATAGAGTAACAACAACAACAACAACAACACTTTATTTATATTCCACTCTATCTCCCCAAGGGGACTCTGAGCGGATTCCAACATACACAGAGAGGCAATGACTTTAATACAGTGGAATAACAATGACACACAAACACACAGAACAATGGTAAAGGCTTTGTTTTGTTTTCTGAAGTCTCGAGTAAATTAATAAGATAAAATCACAGGGAAATCAAATGCAGTATCAAGTGTTTTGCTTGGATAAGCATCCATATATTGTAAGTAGCAGTCCACTAAGATTTAAATGAAATAAAATTTTATGAATTGTGAAGATGCCACAAGGCAAGGTTGTTTTTGTGCAACAATCTGACAAGGCAGCATCTCCTGCAAATTGTTACATCAATGACCCAATAATGGAAGAAACACAGACACACACAATGCATTGGAAATAGTTTTGTAATGGCTAACCATAAGCTTATGTTGGTGAGTCTCCATTTCACTCCACAAAACCTTTTACTTTCCCCCAATTTATTACCACCAGAGTACATTCTTCTCAGCTTGTAAACCAACTCAGCTAAATTTGAAAATACAGTTCAATTTGAAAATACAGTTTGAAAAATTTGAAAATACAGTTCTACCATATTTGTAGACTATTGCAATACTTCTGTTACGTAACTTCTATGAGACAATTATGAGTGTTATATTTCTAGACAACAATCTCTATATAATAAAACCAGAATTGCCAATTTGAAGACTGGTGATCATGGTAACTCAAAATATAGTATATAAAATAAGCTTTCAACAGGTTAGATTTTTTTTAAAGGCATACCATGTCCACTGATTCAATCAGGACATTACAATTAGAATCATAGAATCAAAGAGTTGGAAGAGACCTCATGAGTCATCCAGTCCAACCCCCTGCCAAGAAGCAGGAATATTGCATTCAAATCACTCCTGACAGATGGCCATCCAACCTCTGTTTAAAAGCTTCCAAAGAAAGAGCCTCCGCCACACTCCGGGGCAGAGAGTTCCACTGCTGAACGGCTCTCACAGTCAGGAAGTTCCTCCTCATGTTCAGATGGAATCAGAAAATAAGCTTGCTCCCTCCTCCCTGTGACTTCCTCTCACATATTTATACATGGCTATCATTGCGTCTAACAGTAACCAGACGCAGAGCCTTTACAGCAGTGGCACCATCACTCAGGAATACTCTGCCACCTGAAGACCGTGCCTTGCTGGACCTATTGGCTTTCCGCAGGGTATGTAAGACATATCTGTTTCGACAGGCCTTTGATCTCTGATATTGTTGTTTTTAAATTGTTTTTAAATTGTTTTAAATTGTTTTAAAATTTTGTTAGATTTTAGCCTGTTCTTGTAAGCCGCTCCGAGCCCCAGGGGAGTGGCGGCATATAAGTTTCCTCTCAGCCTTCTCCTCTTCAAGCCAAACATGCCCAGCCCCCTAAGCCACTCCTCACAGGGATTGTTCTCCAGACCCTTGATCATCCTAGTCGCCCTCCTCTAGACACATTCCAGCCTGTCAATATCTCTCTTATCTTCTCACCTGGAACAACTCTGTGTCCAGTCAAAAAGCAATTCAAAAAGGATATTGACAAGCTTTAGTGTGTCCAGAGAAGGGCCACCAAAATGGCCAAAGGTCTGGAAATACTTCTGAGGAGCAGCTGAGGGAGATGGGGATGCCCGGCCTGAAGAAAAGAATGCTGAGAGAAGCAGGCATGAGGGCCATGTTGAGAAGGCCCCTTTTAGGAAAGGGAAAGGCTTGGCTTCTGCTACTCTGAAAACCAGGACACAACAGAGCCAAGGATTCAAACCGCAAGGAAAGGCATTCCACATATACACTGGGAAGAACCACCTGACAGTAAGAACCGTGGACCACAGAATACAGGCCGCCCTGGAGTCTGGTGGAGTCTCCATCCTTCTCAGGAGACTGGATGGTCATCTGCCAGGAGGGTTCTAGTGGTGTCTTCCATCCTGGCAGAAAGGGGTTGCACTGGATGGCTCCTGCGTCTTCCTCCAACTCTTTAATCAAAGAACATTAGCTTTGCAGCTAGCCTAGAACTTCCATTGGGTGATTGGAAATGCACTTGAGACACCAAAGAGACAGTCATGGGGCCATCGGGGAGAGGAGGAATTTTAGTCGGCAATGGTTTTGATTCTTCTGCAAAACCAGACATGTGTGCAATGATGACACCTTTCAGAGGGGAGGGCGGAATGCCTATTTGGGGGACAATGCCCCCATTTTGCCCCATGGAGATGCCCCTGCGCCCCTTTTTTCTGGTGCCCTTGCTGTGAAGATGGCAGATTGCTGCCCAGCATGTGGTTGGGGCCTCTCTTCTTCTTCTTCTGCTTCTTCTTCTTCTTCTTATTATTATTATTATTATTATTAAACGAACAACTATAGGGATTTCAGCATCAGCTTTTAAACATAAACTGCCTAGTACCTATCATGGCTTGCTTCAATCAATCAATCATTGTCCCTACATTTTTCTTGGTTCTTTTGTTTTAAAAGGTGGAATTCTACCAAAAATAGCAAAGTATGATAATCATATTTTATCATTACTTAGGATACACACAATATAGTATCAACATGAATCTCAATTTAAATCAGAATCAAACTTTGAAAAAGAAAATCACCATGATTTAAATCAGTTTTCCCCAATAGATGTTTGGAAATATGAAAATACTATGCCTGTTGAGAATACCGACATTCTGCCTACTCCACAACTTGTAGAATTCTTCCTACAATATCCCACAAAAGTTATCTAGAATCTCCAGTGTAACCGCCTAGGTACATGCATTGTTTGATCACAACTGTAATTGATTCACCCCACTTGTTGTTTGTCCTTACCTTTCTCTTCACAAAAGCCTTTTATAATATAATATATGGTTGATAACACAATAGGCAATTCTAAGATCAGAAGCAAAACTAAGAATTCGGCAAAGCAAATGAGAAAGGAGACATTTATTATTTGGATCCTGCACACCTAGTTGATAGTACATCTAATACACGCGCGACTTTAACAAACTAATGCATCCTATAGATAAAATTGTTAAGTGAGCAAATTACTTAGCTACATTTTCCTGATTGCATATATTTGGTTTGTTATTGAATTCTGGTTTCTTTTCTAAATCAATGGGGCGAATCAGATGAATTAGTCACCACTGTCTTCTACAGGATGAAAGTTAATCTAATTGCAGCTGACTTTGATACATAAATACCAGTATGCAAAGAGGTCTTGCAGCACCTTGGAGATTAAGTGAGAGAAAGATGTTGGTACCATAAGTTTTTGTAGACAACCTCTACTTCCTCAGATGCACAGGACTAGAATGTTTCCATCATCATTCCAAGACAGAAATCAATAAGAAATATAGTTTACTAAATAAGTTCTGCCACAAGGAATAAGATGCTATATACAGTCTCAGGAAAATTCTTAACAGTGTCATCAAAGAGGCTGACACAGGAGGAGCTGTAGTAATCATAGGGAAACTGGACTACATGGGAAGGATGAGTGGCAACTGTCAAATTCATGCATCTGTGGAAGTAGATTTCAAACATGAAAGCTTATACTACCAACACACTTCTCTCAGTTAAGTCTCTGAGATACCACAAGATCCCCTTTGTATATTGATATTCCAAATGTGCACTCCTATGCCTATAAAGAAACAAAAACCATTGGGAATTATTCCCAGATAAGTGTACAGTGAGTTGCTAGATCAGCTCAGGCGTAGCCTATCCAGTTCAACCAGGGTTTCCCTTTGCATACTGTATGAAACAACCCTGGGAATTTATGCCTAAATGTTTGGGTTAGGGCAGACACCACCCTTTACATTTTATGATCAAGATGGAAAGATTGCTTCAAGCAAAGGCAATAATAAGGAAGAGGAAACGATATAATTATGTTACATTATTCATCTCATCACAACAGCTCTTCAATGAGAAAGAAGAGTAGCTAATTGTTTTAGTAATAAAAACACATGTTTTGGTTACATGGACCTGCTTTTGTCTGATGAGATAGGATTGTTGTTGTTGTTGTTGTTGTGTGCTTTCAAGTCATTTCAGACTTAGGTTGACCCTGAGCGAGGGCCGGGTAAATGACCTTGGAGGGCCGCATCCGGCCCCCGGGCCATAGTTTGAGGACCCCTGTTCTAGAGGCATTCTCTCCTGACCTTTCACCTGCATCTATGGCAAGCATCCTCAGAGGTAGTGAGGTCTGTTGGAACTAGGAAAGTGGGTTTATATATCTGTGGAATGACCAGGGTGGGAGAAAGAACTCTTGTCTGTTGGAACTAGGTGTGAATGTTTCAACTGACCACCTTGATAAGCATTTGATGACCTGGCAGTGCTTGGGGGAATTTTTGTTGAGAGGTGATAAGATGTCCTTGTTTGTTTCCTCTCTGTTGTTTTGCTGTTGTAATTTTAGAGTTTACATACTGGTAGCCAGATTTTATTCATTTTCATGGTTTCCTCCTTTCTGTTGAAACTGTCAACATGCTTGTGGATTTCAGTGGCTTCTCTGTGTAGTCTGACATGGTGGTTGTTGGAGTGGTCCAGCATTTCTGTGTTCTCAAATAATATGCTGTATCCAGGTTGGTTCATCAGGTGCGTTGGCAGTCTTTAGGAAGAGCTTGAAGACCTGGCTATTCCGGTGTGCCTTTCCAGAGTAGGAAACCCCAGCAACACATCCCAAAAGCACTTTATTAGAGATTAAGATTGTCCACACATTGCACCTATCCAAATTCCTTATATCACTCAGCATACGCAGCACTTTTAAATCTGTACCCAGTACATTTGCCCGGCCTAGTTTTATTGTGTCACGGTGTGCTGTTTTTACTGTTTACTGTTATTGCTTTAATGTTTTGATTTGCATTTGGTTTATATGTAATTGTTATATTGTTGTTTTATTGTGGCCTTGACCTTTGTAAGCCGCATCGTGTCCTTCG